GATTAATTAATAAGTAACTTTAATAAATAAAATTGTATAAAACAAAGAAAGTATAAATATTAAAATAAAGATAATTTATTAAAAACAAAGAAAATTTAAAGAAATTGTGAGATGAGTATTAAAATATTTATATATATATATATAGCAGTTATTTAATACTATATATATATTCTAAGCAAAAATCTATTTAATTGACTTAAAATTATTTCTATAAAAATATTAAAAAAAAAAAATCAATTATTAACTTTTACATTATTCAAATTTAATTAGAATCAAGGATCTATTATCTATAATATTTAATTAATTAAATAATCATTAATAATCAATAATCAATAATCATCAATAAATCAATAATCATTTTCAACTAACATAATTGATTATGAATATTATTTATTACTATTTAATTATTGATAAATAATTTATTTTAAATTTTTAATTAATATTTTCATCAAGCAATTATTGAATTGAATTGAATTCTATTAATATTCAATTGCTGATTGATTATATTGATAATTAATACAATAACATTATTAACATTTTAATTAATTGATATTAGTAAATTAATCAAATATTTAAAGAAAGTACCGATCAACTGTTTTAATACTTTTAATAATTTAATTAATCTCGAATCATTTTCATATTTCCGTTGAATCAAAATTATTTAGTTTCTCGAAGTATCTAGAAATTATTCAATGCTGACAATTATTAAGAAAAATAATATTTTATTAACGATAAATGATGTGCAAATGTTAAATATTAATTACTGTTAAAAGACTGATACGAGCTTTCGTTTAGAAATATCAGCGATCATTTATTTCCAAAACAAAAACAACACGACAACGTTTCTAATCACGAGACTCATATTTACAAGACAATCGAATATTCGTGAATTGTATTCGTGCGAAGATTCATTTCGCGCGCGAAATAATATATTGAATGGATGAATCAATTCGCTCTTCCAGAGATAATTAGAGGAATCGTTTCTAACTGCGCAAACTAACTGTTCAATCGTGAGTGGACCGCGCGCTAATCGCGTTCTCGATGAAATCATGTGAGTGAAAAATATTTACATTACAGGCAAAGTCCTTTGATGTGAAAGATACAAAAATATACAGAAAGCGAATACAAATTGACAATAATTAATAATATAATTTTAATAATATTAATAATAATAAATATTAATAATATAATTATGAAGAAAAGAAAAATTAATATAAAACTTCTGAAAGACGTTCCATTGAACGTATTATATGAAAATATTGATTTTTCATAGTATGCATCAAGTATACCGTTAAGCATAAAAATGTTAAAATTTGATAAGATGTATGATAGAAATATATCACAGAATTTATTTAGATTAAAGTCTGAAGAAAAAAATAGTGTAAGAACGGAGATTAATCTTCAAATTTTTTCATAATTGAAAGAGATAAGTTAATTACGATAATGTTAAATGATATTGAAAAGGAATACAATTATAAAATGTGATTAATTATTATGATAATTATTGTAGATAATTGAATTTAAAATTTGATTTGATTTTAAAGAATTTGTTAATGATGAGGAATTTATTAAAATTATTTATTAAAATTATGAGAAAAAAGTTCAATCGCTATAAATTGAAGTGTAAATTCGATTTATATAGCGATGTATATAGCGATGTGAATAATTTGATACTGAAAAAAAGTTTATTTTCATTCAAGAAGCTTGACAAGGAAATAAGAAGTGATGAATTTGAAGTTTGTAGGTTTTTTTAAAATAAATTTTATTGATTGTACAACGAAAAAGAACAGGAAATTTATGATGAATAGAATCTTTTACCTTTTTTATGGAAAAAAGAAATGAAGAATTTTGAAAAAAAAACAAATATGATAAAATTAAATAAATATTTTTTATAACAAATTAAAGAACTGAAATTAATATTAAAATATAAATTTTAATATTAAAAAAAATAGATTCTCAAAGAAATATATAATTTAAAAAAAATTTTAATAGTTTAATGATGAAAAAAATGCAAATTTTTTTTTTCTTCAGCTACTATGAAAAGAAAAAAAAATTGTAAAGTGATGTATTAGTTATATATATATA